GCATTTTCCACAATGGCAGAATTTTTCTCACATTCTGCCTTTACAACCCCAGGGTCTTTCGTCTGTCTCCGCCCTCTGCCGACTTGCAGTTGACCCCTTTCTCTAGCATCAGCGTTCTTCCACCTGACCAAATTCCTCTTGTGGTTTGTCTTCCTTTCTTCAACCGTGTTACCCGTTTCGCCTATGTAAACCGCACCACAGGAGCACGGTAGTTGGTACGCCCAACCAGCTTTTTGCTCCTTAGGTTTCTGAGTCTTGAGGTGGCTTAGGCGGCTACGTAGAGTAGCAACATGTTTGAATATCAGGTTGAGTCCGAAAGCAGATCCAGAACGTATGGCAAGGTGATGTAGGTCTTGTGATCAGCTTGTTCCCAATTGTTTGGTCCGAAACGTCAGATTCTCTAATTAAAGAACATTTTATGCGTGGTTTTCGCGCTTGTGACTTATCAAACGATAACAGTAAAATAAGTGTAAATAATTAAATTGTTTAACAAAATGAAGCTTAGCATTATATAAACTATAACGTATAGCGTTAAGGTACACATCTGCGATAAATCCGCAGTATACCAAATCAATGCTAGACGCAGCAGCATTAAGTACTGTTGGTGATGCACATCTGTTTGCCTATCATTACTACACCACAGATCGACAATGTCGCAAAAATGATCGATCTGGATGTGAAATCTTGGTACTCACAAGGTATCTCTAGTTACAGATAAAGTATTTCCTGTTAATCTTACCATCTTTGGTTATTAAACCTAAGAACGCTTACAGATACCTTACATGAGCAACACAATTGATACTTGATTTCTTACATTATCACGTTCAAGAAATTCAACGAAACGTGGGATTTTTCCGTAATTTAAGCCTTCATCGCTGTAAATTCAATAAAAGAAAAAAAGAAAAGTTTGTAACCCTTGCAATGTCGGTCTTCTTTACACTACTGCGAAGAGGTCATCAGCTAAATTATATGCAGTGTCTTTCCATCCCATCGGGTGGTGCTCATTTATTAACCTCAGAAAGAAGGAAACTAGTGTCCGGACCAGAGCTTGAATCTGGTTATCATCATCAATCGGTTCTGATTCCAACTATCCGAATCCCATCTAGCACCTGCAAAATAGATCCTACTTCTGGAATATTTAATTCCGTGCACAGTGACATATATACCGCAATTCATCTGCCCT